ATTTATTTTATTCAATATCCGGTGTATAAATATGAATACTATTTTTAAAAATATATTGAAAATATACTGTATTCATATTTAGCTTTTATAATTAACTCGAAAAAGATATTTAAAAATAATCAGTTTATAGAGTGTTATATTATACTGTTTATGTTAGATTACAAATAATGGTAAAAAGGAAAAATGTGAAAAAAATAAGGAAAAGTTTAAAATGTTAGAACTGCGTGGATCAAAGTTTTTAAACAGAAATAACAAGTGTTCATTTTTAAATAACATCTCTTTATATAAAATAAGAATGATCAAAAAGGTGACTTACTTGAATGGCTGACAATGGATTGTTTCGCGGTATCTCGTATTAGAGATAATATTTGATTTTCACAAGCATTATTTGCCCGATAGAAAGTGTAAATAAATAAACAAAAAAATAATATTCAAATTTTAATTTAAAATTATAATTGATTAAAACCGTAATAACTTGTAGTTACATTATTTGTATGTGCATCGCGTAAATATAGCATGTTAGTACAACACTACCTAGGCAGCTGAAACAAAATGCAGTATCACCGGCAGTTATTGTAAAGTGAAAAAAAAGAGAAAAATAAATAATTTTCTTTCAGAGAACGGTTAAAGAAAATATTTATTACGTACCTATTCAAAATCATACTTCATAGAATCATTTTTCTATTATTGTTCATTTCTTTAGGAAAATTGAATCAATAATCAATATAATTATAGATGTTTTTATTATTATTATATTTATTTGATTTTTCAATGTGCTTACGAAAATTTAATCGTTTAGTAAAAAGAGCATTATCATAGTTTAAGATATGGTATGTGGTGGTGGTTAGTGTGGAAAGTTGATAGGTCTCTAATTTCAAAGTAAAAATTGTTTTGCGGGGTCGTAAGAAGATTTGAAAATATTTGTAATGAATTGTAAATTTAGTGAATTAATGGAAAATTTTATACTGGTTATTGACTACTTAGACAAAAATATGTAAAAGTTACGTAAAGTTGTCCTTTCCTTACAAGTTCTAAATATTAAAAGTTTAGATAAATAGAATAGAGTACTTTCCAAAATGTTTGTCCACTACTTCACTTGTCTAAACTTTAAATACTTTTAACTAATAAACTATTTAAACTACTTAACAAAATGTTAACTATAATTAATCTAAATATTCCGAATAACATTTTGCTTTTGAATATTAAATTAAAATGTATGTGGACTTAAAAATAGAAAAAACTAAATAAAATATAACAGTAAAAATATTGAAAGTATTTATTTCTTTCAATAATGGTGTTTGTAATGACTTAAAATTATTTGAAATACAGATTTTTAAAAACGTTACATTTTTCTAAAATTTTGTAGATTTTATATTAAATGAGTCACTAAATTTACTCATTTTAATACCAAAGTATTAAGTTAGAGGGTCAACAAAGACAAATACATCCATATTTTTTTCTCACACAATGCTACACATTCCTATTACGCACTCACAGAAGTTTCACAATGTTGTTGATTAAGCATACGAATTAATGAAAGATTTTGATCAATCAATAGCTTAAAATTGTTATTAGCCTAGGGAAAAAAAATATTGCAATTTATTTTCTTTTTTATGTTTTTAAATAACGAACACTATAAGATATATCATCACTGGATGATATAAGTTAGCTTAAATTTTAGCTCTAAAATTAAATGTTTCTATCATATTTTATAATATAAATTCTTTAATATATATTCAAGTGTATTAATAATTTACTAAAATAAACAAGTTTCTAGTAAAAAATAATGATTATTAATAAGTAATATTTTAATAAAGTTTTTCATGGCTTTAAAGAAATTTATTCAAAAATGCATATTTTTAAATAAGCATTCATTTTAAATTTTTTAGCTTGTAATAAATCTGTTTTTATATCTAAAAAAAAATATGCATATTATTATATTATACACTATATAGGTGTATTATCAAACTAGATTAAATAGTATGTTACTATATTATATGAATTATAAAATTTTGTAATTTTATTGTATACCAAATAAACTTTGAATAAAATCTGAAATAATGTATATAATTTATTCTTACTCATACATTCTGCATTGTCTGTCTTAATATTTATTTGTAATAAGGATGTTCATATAATTATGAACTATATGCGTCAACCATTTATTTTTGAATTTTATCTATAACATATAACTCATTATATTCATCACTATAATACAGGACATATGAAGTTTGAGATATTAATTTACTTTTAGAATTTAATAAAGATAAATAATAAATATTAAAATCAAAAATATAATTTTTTAATATTTTTTCAACTCAATTAGTTACTTTTAAATGTGTCTGTTAATTACGATTTATTTTTTTGAAGTAACATTCCCATTTAAGGTTATTTATTTCACCGTAGTATACATATCTACCTATTTGTTTTTGGTTTACAACTGATTCAAAAGTATTTACGTAATTTTATTAATATTTACTTTTGATAAAAACATTTTACTTTGTAAAATAACCTTGATAAGAATTTGAAAATTAAAAATACAAATGATTAAGCAATACAATTATTTAATAATAACACATATGTATATATAACATTTGATACTATAAAACAAATTAGATACTTTTGTAACATTAGGTACTATTGATATTTATTTTTTAGTTAATATCAACAAAAATAAGAAATATTTAACATTTCAATAACAATAAATTAAAATTTGTTTTTGATTCAATTAATTTAGATTAGTTAGAAAAATTAATCAGGTCTTGATAATATCACACTTTTTAAATACTTTTCTATTTTATTTTACTGTTAATTTACATACCTACTATATTATTTGTGTAGTCAACAAAGAAATGTCTACCTATTTAATAAATAGTTGATGACTACTGGATTTAGGTTAAGTATAGCAGTTAATATTAATACTCTAATCAAACAATATTACATAGTTCAATATGTTTATAGTTTGTGAGTATTTAATTAATCTAAATTTGGATGTATGTTTTATAACGAATAATGAATTGAAATGAAAATTAAATAATAACAAGCATCTCATAGACTAATTAGAAGTTATAATTATATAAATGTAAATTTTCACAGTTTTTTTTTTTTTTTTTTGTAATTGGGTGTTTTAACTAAATACAAATTTTTTTTTTTTTTAAATTAAATAAAAATATTTTTTTAAACCAAACGGTAAGTGAAAGTAACTTCTTGTATTTTGTGTAATTTTGGTAAAGTATTTAATATTGCTAGTTGAATTCGTCAAATTTTTTACTCAATTTAAATGTTATTATTAATAATAATAGAAAAAAATAGAAAAATCATTAAAACAGGTGTATCATAATATTATGTAAATTAACAAGTTTCTTCATTATAATATTATACAAGTATTTAAATATTTAAGTAAAAATAAATTATTTAAAAAAAAAAAAAAAATAAAAAATAAATATTACATTGTTCTATAATAATTATGATTTAAATAAATATAAGGTTTGATTAAAAAAAGTTATGTGAATATATGAAATACGAGTTAAATAAATATATCATTCCGTTAAATGAGAATTTCAGTAATTATTTAACAATAGCTTGGAAGAGATTTCATCTTAACATTTATTTAAATGTTTTTTTAAGAATATTTTTAGTATTTATTGAAAAATTGTATTTTTTTCGGTGATATAAAATTACACGTGTCATGTTATCGTGGCGTACTGGTGTGTATATCAATATTTAGTATAATTTAAATTTGTATTGATGTGTAAATAATCATGAAATCTACGTTTCTGTAAATGCCTTCGTTTGAACTTATAAAAATATTTAAATTTAAATATTGTGTAGGTCTTCAGATTTTAAGAATTATATTTATATGATATTTGTTTTAAAACAGAAATTTTAAAAGCTCAATCATCATACAAAAATAACAATTACAAAGCAATCCGACTGGTAGAAATAATTTACAAAAAACGACTAAGAAAAATTATTATTTATAATATTATTGGTTCTATGCTACATATTATGTAGACATACATATGTATTTTTATAGTCGTAGAAATTATATATTTAAACGAATAGATAATAACAATTTTATTTACGTATTATATATTTTAAATTAAATGTAATAAAATAGAGACATTACTGTATTAGATTTTTTCATAACAGAATTTTGTATAATTATTCAGTATCAGTATACTATTTTTAATATACAGATAACTACCATAATTAAAAATACAATTTTTTAAAATAAATAATAATATAGTATACTAATTACTAATGATGTTTAAATTTTTGATTAACCTAATCTAACCTAACGAAATTTTGTAATAACTAATGATTGCATTTTAAATTTAAATTTTTACATGATATAGGTTAAATTAATTAGCATCTTATTATTCTGTTTATTTTTATTGTTTTGCTATTGATGCATATAGATACGTATATGTTTTAATGTTTCGCTTTATTATACGTACTATTAAATACAATCCACATAATGTATAGATAATATTAATAATATTTAATAATAAATGTATTATTGTGAGATGTTTAAAATATTCAAAAAAATTTTTATTAAAATAATATAAAAAATATTGTTAAAAATACTAGTTTGATAGCCAAAAATATTTTATAAATGTTTTTAAATTATTATGATAATTGGTAGTACCTAAGCTATATATTTATTAATATCACTAAAATCATATTTCGTTAAAAGGGTAGTTTTTGTCTTATAAACTATCAAACTAACCTATATCTGTGTTCATTAAAAGCAATTTTGTTTCGTTATTTGTTAGCTTGAAAGTTTATCATTTATGTGAGTTAACCTAATTTTAATGCGATTGTAAACATTTTAAAATTTCAATATTTTACATAATTAATAAAATACGAATAAAAGCTTATGATTTGCCTTAAGACCTAAATAATAATATTTTTACCTTAAGCTTAATAATGGAATAATTAACTTAAATATTAAAATTATCAATATAGAATTTGTTTTGCTGGATGAAAATTTGTTATGTTTAACAGTTTAACTTATGTAGGACGGAGACAGCAAATGCGATTGTGATGTTCTCTTGTAATATTGCATATCGTTACTAAATAATGTTTTTGATGTATCGAATTATAAATTAAAATCATACACAACTCAAGTATAATACGTATGGATCTATTTTAATTCAAGAAACAAAATAATCAATAACACTATTAAATTCATTCGCAAGCTGAATAAGCTATCGAGCCAAATGTGATTTAGGTGGTCATTCATTTTTATACAATATTGAGGAACGATGTTTCGTTATAATGAATAATATAACATTAATGTAATGAGTAATTTAAAGTTCTACGTTTATTAGAAGCATCAGCTTTTAACGAGAGTTCTGATTTCGTGAGATGGCGGTGTCCTCGGTGGTTTTGCTCGCGATGTAACACGCAGATGGCAGCACGCAATGATATTGCCGGTATACTGATTCCTGAAAGTGAAATTAATGAATAAATTAATATCATTCTTTGTTCTTTTTTCAACCTTCTAACGTTCATCCTAAAATCTTTAAATCGATGGATCAAAATCGTGCTAAGAAAAATAGTATGCGGTCATTGATTCGTCCCAATTGACGTTTACCTATCCTGATTATAGGTATTTTAGTTGGTGTTTCATTTTGTTGGCAAGGGACAGTACAAGTACAAATCGGGACGCGGTTCGTACAAAATAAAAATAAAAATTATAACTCATATAGCGACCACTGGTTTTATTTTTATCGTAATAATATACTACCTATCTGTTACAGTTAAAGTATGTGCACTCGGCGGCGCCGATCGAGTTTTATATCGGACACATATTCAGAATCGTACATTACCGTTTTATCGTTATTATTTCAGTGATTGGCGTTAAGGCATGGACTGTTTAGCTGACGTGTAATAATATTTATAATATTATGATTTATATCGAATAATAATATACTCACTTATTGATGTTTTAACAGCGTTGCACAGCGGCGGAAAATACAAACGAATAAACCATAACATGGTAATTGGTTACCTGTATAAATTAAAATATAAGTGTATATTATACAGAAAATCACTTGCGCAATACAATATTATTACTGTGCACTATACAGCAGAAAATCTATTAAAGTTCGGATAATTCAGATGATTTACCGGTCACGCCATTATGGTTGGCGATTGAATTCGTTCCGTTTTTAGGACTTTAAGAGACTATCATTCCGTTTCGACTATAGTCGAACGGTAGTTTACCGTGGTCTATAAATTTCACAATAATATCAGTGAACGAGTTTGTGACACTAGACAATAATATTATTCAACCGTCTTTGTGCCACTTATGTATTATTGCAATAAAGGCCAAACTTCCAAATGGATTAATAGACTAATGATACGACTTATTAGTTATTACAATGATGCACAATAATAAAATTACCATAAACGAGCTGCGAAAAGAATCTTGAACATATTGCAAAATGCCGTGCGCAAATATTTTTGATGGACGACCCACGTAATTATTTATTTCGACGAAATGACTCATCTCCTAAAAAATATTTAAAAAATATTTATAATATTATATAAAATACAGAATGTATGTAATATAAACAGTTTTGTTTCTTAATCACTGATTTAAAATAACGATAACTTTACGTACATTTTGATTAAAATTATATTTATAATATTTTAATATTTGCTAAGAACGTTTTTACAGATCCAATTACCTAGTATATAAACATGATATTAGTAATATATTTAGTGATTTATATTTATTTATTCAACAGTCATTTTTTCGGTACCTAAAACAATTATTACTGTGTATTTTTAAAAATAATATTTAAAAAAGTATACAAAACTTCAAAAATAGTGTAAATTTAATTTGTTTCTCAAAAATATTATGTTGTAAATTTTAACCAATATAATTTTTTTGATACGCGAAAATGTTCAAAAACAATAAACATTAGCTTAATAAATTATTATTGGATTATATTGTATTTATATATTATACCTGGCGCTTGATGTCAGCGGGATTCTCAGGAAATTTCAACTGAGGAGAATACAAAAATATACCGTAAAGTTTGTCACAATTGTACAGCTCTTTCTTAACTCTCTCATAATAATAACAATATTAAAAATTATGTTTTAAAAATCAAATAAAATTGATATGCTTTTAAAAATAACATTTAAAATTTTTAAATATGAGGTATATTAAAAATAATATTTGACATACATTTATTATAAATATATCAACTTTACTTGATTTTTAAGGCATAATTTTTAAATAACTTCTTTGAGATCAAACCTGTAATCTCATTCACAGATGACAAATAATGTTAACTCATTGAAACAATTCCAATAAATCACGTTAAATTATGAGAAAATTAATAATAGTAGCTACTTAATAAATTTATTCATTACTTCGGTCATCATATTTCTTGTACATATATGTTTTTAGTATACCTTTAAACACATGATGACATTGGGTAAAATAATGACTTAACATAATTAGTAGATAATATTGAAAAATTCGAAGTACTTAAATTAATATAAACATGAACCATCTACGTCTGCTTTAGAAAGTTAATTTTTTACTTTGAAGTTTTGTTTGTTATATTTTTAGTTTAGCGATATGGTTCAAATATCAAAGTCAAGATAAAATGTTGTAAAACAAGTTTTAAAAAAGGTCGGTTTCGACAAAAAAAAAAAAAAAAAAAAAAAAAAAATGGAAAAAAAAGTTTAAAAAAAGGTCGGTTTCAAAAAAAAAAAAAAAAAAAAAAAAATAAATATGGAAAAATGTAGCAAATAAATAATTATTTAATAATTAACACAAAATACATAATATTTGCCACCTATATGAAAAACACTAGTTTTTATTATAAAAATAGTCAGTTAAATTATGATTTAAAAAAAAGTAATGATATGAAGAGATTTATCTCTTACACTTCTCCTTACCCGGAGAGCGAAAAAACTCAATATAATCATATTAAACAATTCGTATTTTAACGTATTATAGATATATTTGTATGAATAGATCCTCTAATATACTTAGTTAATGACTTATATTTTACAAACATTTTTTTAACGTTGTAGCAGATCCTAAAGAGTTTTATTTTTGTAGCGCGTGAATAATTTATTAATAATTTTAAATATAAATAAAAAATGTATCCAAGAATGATAGTTCTAAAATTGTCAATAATTGCAGGTGTACAAAAAAATATTTTCAAGACAAATAAAATTAATATTTTAGAATCGAATTCATTGAATATTACTCATATTAACATCTAATTTCTGTAGTTAAGTTTTCCATTTCAATAAGTGTAGGTAGGTACTCTCTTAGTCTTTTCAATATTGTTTAACAACTTACTACTTTAATGTGCAGCGGAAACTTCTGCGTGTTTCTTCAATGTGGTTGTACGGCAGTATCGTGAGTTCAAAGTTAAGGCGAGTAAAACATTTTAATTAAACTCGGACGATCATTTTACGGTTTTTGCAGTTACGAAACAATACGATCGATTTCATAAAACTTTGTCAATGATGTACAAAATATTAGTTGTTTCTAAAAAAAAACAAAAAAAACTAACAGTTTATACACATTTTAGGGTTTAATAATAATTTACTATAAGAAACTATAATAACGGTTATTGAAATAAAATTATATTAGAATAACATACTTTATCATAGTAATACAGCTTACCTGTACAAAATACAATCATTCATTTTAAATCCCGAGTGAAGCGTTCTTTCTCAATTTTTTATAATTAATTTATATTAACTCTTTTCCATACAGAATGTTTAAAATCGAATCTAGTGATGTGATTTTTTGATTTTATTTGTAGTCTTTACGTGATTGAAAATACTACTGACGACTGTTGATTAATTTTTCAGAGTGCCAAAAGGGGTGTAAAATAAATAACTGGGTTCGACTTTAAACAGCTATTTGATACAATCATTGTTTTGAAATTTAAATTTTAATAAAACTACGTAACCTGTACCTTTGAGGTGAACGACGCCAGGCAAATCGAGTGACCAAAACTTATTAATAATCCTAAGTATGTTTCCTCTTCAGAATTTTTTCTCTTTTACATTCACGAACTATACTAATTATAGGTATAAATATTTATTCATTTCGAAGTCAAGCTCATTATATTCCTAGAAAGTCAGTAGCAATATCTACAGAGTCCCACTGGAATTATATAAAGAGCACTACAGATTTACTAGTTACAAAAGTACTAACGATCTTAATTATTGCAACGGTCGCGAATCAACAACGATCTACTTGTTTGTGGAAATCGGCAAATGTTGTGAGGGTGTAAATATCTTAACCCCGCTTTTGGTCAGTTGAACTACTTAGCGGTAAATGCGTAAAATGTATAATAACAACATCAACAATAACGACTTTAGAAATTAATAGTTAGAGACGTAAAATACCATGAACAAAAAACTCACGACTGTTCTGTTTCGTGGCGCAAAATCAACGGTATGAACGTGTGTAAAGTACGTGTCGAGGTGGAAAAACAATGCAAGATACGAAAATCAATTTAAATCAATTAGAAAAGGTATTTAAAAAAAATAGATGATATTTAATATTATTGTGTTATATTAATAGGTACGTAATATTATGTATAGTTATTACTTATTAGTTTCTTTATCCATTCGTAATATTTTTTAATTGTGAATATATATTTTTAGATTTTCATACTGATTTTTTGGTCGTATTGGTCGTAAACTTCTAGCTGGTTGATAGACATTAGGTCGAACGAATAAGTCCAATCTTTATTTTCGTATTTTTTCTTTCGGTTTTAATTTAGTATTTTAATATTTATTTGGCTCACTATAAGTTTTTTCTAATGTGAAATCCATACGTCCTTAATATTTTACGACATCTATTCATTAAGTCGATACTATAAGAAAACACAATTTTAGTTTAGTTTGGTATATAATAAGCTATTTGTATATTGTATATATTTACATAAAAACGTTCTTTTTCCACAATTGTTTAAATCGCTACGGATTTTTAATTGGTACATCAAAACACTCTCAATCTATTCAAATTTATTTTTGTCATCATTAAAACGTTCACAATAGATTATCGATGTACCCACTCCACTCTATTTTTCGACTGACGACAATTTTTTTTTTCAAACCCAGTCGTACTTAGGTCACAAATTAATTTTACAGAGTTTATTGGGCTCGATAAGGGCTGTGGAAAAATCGTATCTGAACTCGTGTGTCCTCGTCAAATCTGCCGCAAAACTGAACTGAAACTTACTGCTTCGCAGTGTGCAACGAATACTACTGCGTCTCTGCAGTTCGTCTCGGTCGATGTTCATTTATTATAACCGTCGTCGTCGTCGTCGTCCACAGCAGCGTACGCGATCGAAACGGATTTTTGATCGCATTCCCGTGCTGCAGGCGATTACTTCGTCGCAGCTGTAACAAAATAATATACTGCCGACCATTATCACGACGACGAGTCCGCAACGATGTTCACCATTATCGTTTTAACGTCGCATAATGTGCACGGGCGACCGTCCCTGCCGCCGACGCCGCCACACCGCCACACCTCCACACCTCCACCGACGACGTCGTCGTGGCGATTATATTTTCACGATGATCCGCGTCGCCACCGGCCTCGCGTTAATTCGTTAATTTTCCGACTCATCGCCACCCGCTTTCGAAGAAGGTACCTACGTATATACGTACATAAATACGTACGTACGTATTATTATAGTCGTTCGCAGATTCGGTCCTTAATCGCCGTTCACGGTGCTGCCGGACGATTGAGTTCGATAAATGACGAGACATCGGGATACGATTTAAAATATTATTACGTATAATACGTTACGATGATGGTATGGGGGTACATCTCTTTCTGTATATATATATACAAGCAAACCACTGACGAGTGACGACGCATTTAAACGACCATTACATTGTTATTATTGTATTATACAATATATATGTACATACCGGCCAAGCCGGAGTGAACCACGCGCTGCTTTAATTGTCGGAGAAATAATAATACCGTCATTTGTTATTATTGTCGCAGAGGATTTTGTCGGTGATCTGTACAAGTAGCTTTGTTATAATATGTATATATATATATTTATGGAATATAGATATAATATTATTATTGTACTGCAAATCGAACGCTTCCGTAAGATTCTTGACTCGCCATCTGCTTTGGGTGCTGCAGTTCCTATTGCAAATATCGTGCGATTAATATGATTTACGTAGTTGTAATTAATTACATTAGAGTACATACTAATATTAAAATATGCAATATTCTAGATCCGCTGATTTTTTCTTCTTCTTGTTTGGATATGACTGCAATCAATACGGATTTAAAAGATTTTCTTTTTGTTAAAAATTTGACGTCAAATCGTGTTCTAAAAAATAATTGAAAAAAATGTATTTAATAACTGCAATTGATTTTTATTTTTTCTGTTAAAAATTAATTGAATCAAATTCCAATTTTTCGAATTCTAATAAACGTATTTAAGAAATGTGTTTTTAAATATTTAATTATTTTACATCGTATAAGGAATTTAATATTTCAATACAAAACTATTATTATTTTTTCCAATTGAGACCAACCCTTATAACCGTAAATTATAAAGCAGATAGTTTTTATTTCATTTTATTATTAATATATATCTAAATCAAAATGTGAATAAAGTTCCCGAGTTATTAAAATATTTTATATAAAATATAATAATCCTTAACAATGATTTGAAAAAAAACTACTATAAAATAGGTGTAATATAAAATATAGTAGTTAACAATTAAACTCAAACGACTTTTACTATTTACGGCATGTTTTATCCCCGGCTTACAAATGGATAATATAGCAAATTCGCTTTTAATAGTTCTGATTTTGTATATTTAGATTTAAAAATAAAAGCTAATTATTATCTTATATTATTATTAATGGTATGAACAATAACTGTGTTTTTCCGATGGGATTTTACAGTGTTTTAAATTTTAACCAAACAATGAACATTATTTAGTATTTTACATATTACTTATAAATTGTTTAAATACTAAAATATCGTAAAAACCAACGATAGAATCCAAATAATATTTTTACTCTTAGTATTGATATTTTGCCAATTAACTTTAATATATTTTATGCTAACAATGTAGAATTTTAATTTATGAACGTAAATATTGATATATTTTAAAAATGATTGAGATGGAAACATAATGCATTTAGGTACGACACAATGTTATACAATTAAAAATGCTTACAGTCACATAAAAAATTCATATTTAAATTATTAATAAATATATACAAAGTTATTCTTTCATTAAATAACACTCATTACTTATCAACGTTATTGAAAATATTTTTTTTAGTATGTATAAAGTCTATTCAAAATAAAACATTTTTTAAATTTTTTATTTTTTTAAATTTTGAATTAAGATATACATTTATAATTTCATATTTTGAAGAAAAATACTTTTCGATAAGATAAAAGTGGAAATTCAGGCAAGGAGTTGTTGAGTTATAAGTGTTTTAAGTTTAAGTTAACGGAGTGGAATAGTATATGGGTAACCTGCATAAAGTTTATCTCATTAAAAATGTATAATGTTGTTCAAAAAAGTAAAAACCTTAAAAAAATGAAAAAATTATAACGATAAAAAATATTAAAAATATAATTTTTTTTAACATTTTTTATTTTATTTTATTCCGACTAGGATCTATGTAACAATAATATTTTTAAAAACGTTAATAGATTTTAAAATAATGAGTGTTGTTTGATAAAAGAATCACTCAATGTCTGATAATAAATTAATATGTACAATATAAATTTACAAATGAGTAAGAAAATAACGTGTTTTTTATGGTTAAATAATTAAACCAAACTATATACATGAAATAAGTAATAAGTAATATAAAAATATTGTAATTATTTATAATTAAAACATCATTAATGAAAATTTTATTATTACAATGTTATTATTATGAGTATGAAAAACTATCATTAATTATACTTTTAAGTTTTAAGTATCGAAATGTTGTAAAAAAATATTTCTATAATATTATGTAAAATAAAATTTCTTATTAGAATTATTTGTGAACTAATTTTAATTTTCTGTTTTCAATTCAGCTATATTTTACTACGCATTTAAATACAATGCGGTTATATAAATGCTTTAAGTGTCGAACTCTGAATTTATAATAGACGATTGAAAATGAGTTTATAAGTAGGTATAGAGTCTGAAGATCTACTCTTAGAAGTATTATATTATTGTATAATATTCGATATAGCAAATGAGATACGATATAGAACATGGGACGTTCGAAGAAATTTCTAAAGTATTCATCTAAAATAATAATTGAAAATCCCTCTAGCGTTTCGTAAAGTTTTCACAATATAAAGGGTATTCCACAGTGTATGGTAACTGTTATACATAACTTCTCATCCGACAGTTCAAAAGTTTTGTAATATTTTCGATATTCGAATTATTCGTGGAGAATGCCTATGTAATATAGTATGTATCGTAATAATTATTCGTAAAATCGCAAGTACACGTTTTCTAGATGGTGGTAGGTTTTACAATATAATAAAATAAATACAATATGCTTTTTATTAAGTAGCATGAAATAATTTTTAAGAAATAAATTGTGATGTATAATAAATACTCGTGGAAGGTAATCGATATTATTGATAGATTTTTTAAGCGAAATGCGAACCTGTAATATAGAATTCCACTTTGTTGACATAATTTCGAACGTACAATGATAATTAATACTTATGACTCGATCGAATTGACATAACTATTAATTCAGTTTGTTTCAAAAAGCTTTGATTTGTTTATAATGATATTGCATTGAATTGAAGTTAAGTTTATGTAGCTTAAACATTATTGGTAAATATAGATACGTACCTATATTAACTAATAAATAATAATATATCAAAGAGGCTCGTCTCTATTACTGTTTACATTTAAATAACGCATTTTGTATATTATTATACAGATTATATTGTATACAATACCTAAGTATCAAAATAGAATATTACTGTATAGACATATATATATATATTATATAATATGCGTATTATCGTAAATATTGTATATGCATTGGTTAAAAAATATAAATAAACTTGGTCAGAAAAAAATAGAGAAACCACACAATGCAGAAAGTGAAGTGATATACATTGTTTTACAATAAAATCTGTTTGGGATAAAAAAAAAAAAACCGCAAGAAAGGGGAGAGAAATGAAGTACTAATTTATGACTACCGACCGGGTATCACCTGTTGTTATTGTTGTTTTTACCAATCTGTTTTCTACGGTAGTCTGAAAAGTATGGAAAAGGTTTGTCTGGACTTGGGGAGAAATTTTCCCCAATCTATTGCGATTAAAGTTTTGATCTGAAATTAAGTTTAAACTGCTTTTTATTTGATGATACGTGCATAAATATAGTTTTTATGATATGAATTTTTAGTAAATATTTTATTATTTCTTTTTTGAATTTTAATCTGAAACAATGAAAAGATAATAAATTAAATAGTGTTGGTTTATGATATTTATTTATAAATATATTGTACGGGTAAAATATTGCAATTACATGAAATTATTAACTATCTATAAAGAACATTTTAAACATGGAAATAATTTTCATTTGGTATAGATAAAAACTTATGATAATGAATGAAAAGAAATAAAATCATAAATGAACAGTTTAAAATATGTTCTTAGTATAAATATTGAAGATTTAATGGAACTAAATTTAAAACTAAAAAAATCAAGTGTAGATCATTAGCAATGGATATTATTCTGTTTATAAGAACAGCTAATGCATAATTAGTTTTATGTACTGATATGTTAATTGTAAAATGCATTCAACGTAATATCTAATGTTATTGTATAAAGTTTATTTTCATCTAACTTAAAGTAGAACCTACTACAAGTTATTCAGGTTATTTAAATGAATCATGTATTAAGTATAATAAAAATAATTTTCGATTGAGAAAAATATTGTTTTTTTTTTTAACATAGACAAAGTCAGTTATTGATATTTTATTATTATCGAGGATTCATTTTTGTTTATACTTAATAAATCCAAATTTATCTATTATTACTTTTTAAATAAGTTTTCAATTGTTGTATTTGAATATGTATTAACACTCTTACAATAATAAAATAAAATAAATTAAATTCAGCGTTGCTTTGCCTGCATAATAATATTTACCTACTGTATTTGTAGAAACTACAAAGCCGAAAGCTGATAAAATTACAATTTTTGTTTATACAATTTATATTCTATGTGCTACGACTTTCAAGTAGATCCACGTCAAAATAAAATAAAAATAATTAAGTTGGTTTGAAAATAATATTATATAAAATATGTTATTGATTAAATGATTATAGTCATTAAAATGTAAAACTTTTATTTTTAAATCTACTGAAATACATACAATATATTAATTAAATTTTTATAAAATATATATATACGAATAAAATATAATTTATTTGAATGTATAACATGTTCAGTAAATTGACATTATTTATTTGGAATATTTCTTATCTATTTAGAAAGTGTAAAATCAATTACACTGATACTGCTGATAAGTTTATTTCGTACTTCATTAATAACCACAGCATACAATAATTTCGATTTTCTAAATGTGTTACAAAAAATGAAAATATATTTAATATTTTTAAACTGTTAGCGTTCAAAGTAGAATTAATTTTAATATAATTATTGGGATATTATAAATTCTATCAATGATCAAAAGAGACTGTATCATGAGTCATGAATAATTGGCATACTATTAATATAACTACGATAATAGTTTTTAAAAATCGGTGGCAACCTGATATAGGTACACAAATGAATTTTAAATGTTGTTTAAATTATAAAACTAACATAAGATTTATCAAAATATATCAGTAATTGTCGATTAATAAATATTCAGTTACTCTTTATTTATAATACAGTGATAACCGTACGTTTTTCCGGTACACGATATTGTATTTTGAGCTAAACTTTTTAATCGATTGTAAATTAATTTTAAATGGTTTAATTTATCTATGTTATATATAAATAAAAATAAAAGAACATCATG